AGTTGGTGTCGAGGCTGGTGGTCCTTGAATCTTGGTTTATATGTCATATATGTGTGTGCTTAAGTGTTTGTTGTTGTAAGTTTTTTTTTTATTAAATAAAAGTTGTTTTGTCACCATGTGACTCACTCAATAGGGCGTTGAACGTGTGGGGCGTTGAACGTGTGGGGCGTTGAATACGTCCACGTTAGGACACATCTGTTTGCACTTGCAAATGCAATGCAGGTGTGTTGTTTCAACCTGCGGCAAAGGCCGCACCCTTTCCGATTCATACTTTTCCACTTTTCCACCCTGCCGCTGCTTTGCTACCGTTTCTAACAAAACCCAGCACAAGGTCCCACGGGCAGCTACCGGTCCCGCATTTTTCAAAGGAATTGCCAGTTTGCCACCATTCCCGAAAGATCCACCCTGCTGCTGCTTTGCCACCGTTTCGACCAAAACCCAGCGCGCGGTCCCATGGGGAGCTACTGGTCCCACATTTTTCAAAGAAACTGCCAACCCCTCCCAAAGATCCACCCTGCCACTGCTTTGCCACCGTTTCGACCAAAACCGGTGCGCGGTCCCACGGGCAGCTACCGGTCTCACATTTTTCAAAGAAACTGCCACCAACCCCCAAAGTGTCGTGCCTGCACCTACCTGTATTTTTCGAACCTTCCAACGACCAAAGGAGTCCGAACAACGACCACTATAAGGAAGGACGATGAAAATGTATCGGAGGGGACATGTCTCAGGGGGGGAAAACGCACCCTTGACGGGCTCCGAACACCGCGATGATTTTTGTCTATTTTGCATGTTGGGAGTAGTGGAGCAACACGCTGTGACGCCCAACCTCACGCCCAACGGGACTTCCTGATCGGAGTGGGATGGGGGCCCAAAAGTGCGAAAAAGGGGTGTGCCAACTTCCAAGGATTTTAGGATAGTGGGGGCGGAGTCCCATGTCGGAACTGGAATCTCCTGTGGCAAGTTTCAGGGGCAAGAGTGCAAAAAAGGCAGGCGCGGGTTGCGTCTGGTTTTGGGAGCCTCGGGGCTCGGAGTTACCACCCTCGCTGGTTCCGTCGTCTGGGTCGGTTTCGAATTTGATGTATGGTCGGGACACTATGACTGTCTCGTTGTCTGATCACTTGTTGTAGACGAACATCGCAAGCCTCCGAATCCGACATGGCAGGCCTCAGCCGGAGACTGTGCGCCCTTCGCTCGGCTTCGGAGAGGGTTCGTCGAGTGAACCCCACGGCTCGATAGGCGCTGTCCTGCTGGCACTCAGAGCAAGGTGGGTCGTGCCAGTAGGGAGCAAGCGCACGCCAGGGGGCTATCGTTAGGCAATGGAAAGGTAATGTGAGATAATAGGGAGGGTACTTCGGTTCAACGAGGATGATGCCGGGTTCGGCGATGATCTGACACCTGGGCGGGCCGGAACGGCGGAAAGGGTAGGGGATGTTGTTTAAGGCTCGCCCAATATCCCACTGACAAACGCGCTCGTGTCCTATTTGATAGGGGAATTCCGGAAGTTTGGCCCTGGGCGTGTGGGGAAATGTGCGTTCTCGCAGTATTCTCGAAATTCTCGATCTCTCAAACACTCACGATCGGTAACACGAAAAGGAGTTTCAATATTCATATTGCGGGACAAGCAAAAACTCAGAAATTCGAGGAGCGGGTCGAAGGCAGGTTTTGCAGACACGCGTGTAGGCAGCGGTCCTCGGAGCCGAGCTTACACGTGCGAGCATAAGACGTGTACCTCGCGTTAAGGAAGGAGATTCAGACGGGCGTGCCTAAGGGAAGACATTCAATCATCTAGTATGCATTTCTAATTCATTTCCATACGAAACACCCAGGCATCCATCGTTACATGCGCGCACAAGTGGCCGAAATCACGGAGTATCCGATAGTGGACGATCGATCAACCGGATCGCTAGTTCCAAGTTGACAAGAGATGTACCCTCCTCAAGACTCGATATCCATGCATTGATCGAAATTCGAGGGTTTGAGGCGAGGTACACGGTTAATCACACGACATTCCAATCTATGGAAAAAAAAATGGAAAAGAGCAAGAAACTGACGAGTACGCATGCATCGAAACACTGTAGTCTGCTCGATCATTCATTTACATTATTTTAGCCCAAAACGCGCAGAGATCAGATACAAACGATTATCATACCCGACTCAACAAGCTCATGGAAGAACGGAGATTCGTCGAAGAAGGAAAAACAAATCAATCATTCATCAATTTACGGAAGAAAGAAAATCCGGGATAGCCGGGAGCGAAAAGGATGGCTGGCGCCAATTGTCAAAATTACACAGATGAGGGGAGAAAAGACACATTCCCAACTCGTCCTCTCTCTCTCTCTCTCTCTCTCTCTCTCTCTCTCTCTCTCTCTCTCTCTCTCTCTCTCCT